ATTCACAATTTCTATGATCACCATGACAAAATCATAGTCCTTACTAGAACATATCTCAAGATCAAATATTGTTGCAATACAACATGGGAGAATATCAGTTTCCGTCACAGGCTCTTTGAATGAGTTAACAGCAATATGTCTTCTGACTCTGCCAGTGGGCAGGTCATTCTGTTATTCTTTTTTAAACATCTGCCCATTTCAAAGTCTCATTAATAATGAGCATAATGTGATTTCCTTTTAGAAGTATAGAGCTAAGTTGGCCAGTCAATTCCTTGTGGCAGACATATGATAGATGTACTGCTTCTTGTCCCCATATTTTGAGTTCTCAGAACTGTTCAAAGGTAGAAAGCATGAGACGCTTAGACTATGGAGCTAGTTTGAAATCTGTCAGAATAAGACAGGATATGATGTGGGAACTAATAGCAGAAATTTTTGTTTCTCACCATGCAACTAATAAATCTTTTGAAGCACTCATTAATTTCACTGCTGCCTCCTGTGTTACCTGGTTATTGGAGTGAACAAACATCAGGTTTCCTTTTTATCACAGTAGATAGCTTTCGCCCTTCCCTTCCTTGAATTACCTAGTGGTGCAAATACTGGGGCAAACTCATTCCTGGTATAGCTCCATTAGATTCAATGGACCAGAAATGAATTTAGCCCTGATGACTCCCTGCTGGAGAGGTGAATCATCTAGCTACTGCCAATGACTTTATTGTGCTCACCACTTTTAAGTATGTGTTTCAGTATATTCCAATAATTACAATGGCCGGTAATAGAAGAAATGTAATGTATTAAAATAATCCACTGGTGTCAGCTCTGATTTGTAAGACAAGCATTGAAAAGAGTGGATTTAAGAAGCATATACATTAGAGTTTATATTTTGCACTATATGAATTTCATCCTCAGGCATTCTCTTGTAGCTTCAAAAATTTGAAAGTTTTTTTTTTAAATGTACTATATCTGTTATAGCTCCTCCTAAAGAAATGATCCTCAGTCTGTGGCTCCTTGAGATCCTGCATATAGCTGTCATGGAGAGACAACATCTCACGCACAGGTCTGGTCTCAGGCAGACCAAGTGAAGATCACAAGGATGCTCCCCGTGTCTCAAACATAGGAGACAACACAGGCAGCCTTGAGCAAACAGGCAGAAGCTGCTTTGAGCCTTTCAAGTCCCCTCACACAGAAAAAAGAAAGATGAGAAACCTTGTTTTCCTCCCAGCAGTCAGGATGGGATTGGAAAATGGTATAAAATGGTGGTGTAGTGTAGTGTGTTGGCTTGAGGTTGCACTGTGATGATTGATTGGCATCAATATGATTAATTGCATCACCATGATGCAGGGTCACAAAGCAAATATTATAATAGTAGGTCAAGATTAGGGTTACCAACTTTCAAATCACACAAAACCAAACAGCCCTGCCACTCCCTTCTCCGAGGCCCTGCCCCCACTCACTCCAATCCCCCCTCCCTCCGTTGCTCACTCTCCCCCACCATCATTTACTTTCACCAGGCTAGGGCAGGGGGTTGGAGTGTGGGAGGGGGGTGAGGGCTCCAGCTGGGAGTGCAGGCTGTGGTGAGGGGCCGGGGATGAGGGGTTTGGGGTGCAGGAGGGTGCTCAGGGCTTGGGCAGGTGTTAGGGGAGTGCAGGGTGCAGGCTCCGGGAGGGAGTTTTGGTGCGGGAGAGAACTCCAGACCGGGGCAGGGGTTGGGGTGCAGTAGGGGGTTCGAAGTATGTGGTCCCGGTGGTGCTTACCACAGCTCCTAGGAAGCAGCTGCCGGGTCCCTGCAGTGCATCGCCTTGGCGCATGGGTGGCCAAGGAGGCTGTGGGCACTGCCCTCACGCCTACAGGCGCTGCCCCTGCAGCTCCCATTCATCATGGTTCCCGGCCAATGGGAGCTGTGGAGCCACCCCTAGGGGCAGAGGCAGCACACGGAGCCTCCCTGGCCACCCATGAGCCGCGCGGAGCTAGGGGAGATAGGGAGCCTGCCTTAGCACCAGGCACCTGCTGTGCCGCCGACTGGAGCCACCAGGGTCCCTTTTCAACCGGGCGTTCCGGTCAAAAAGTGGATGCCTGGCAACCCTAGTCAGGATCTCACTTCACCACATTGTGGCTTTGTGTGACTCCAACCACTGACAAAGTGGCTCTACTGCCCTTTAAGGTCAAAGGTCAATATGCTAGACCCCCTTCAGAATCCTTAGAGAGGAGACCAGTGTTGGAAAGCTTACCGCAAGAGGTCTCTTTGTGCATGGGGGAAAGGATGCTGTTCAAAATTCAAAAAGTAAACAGGTAATAAAGGGAATTCAGAAGATTTCACAAGTGACTGTCAAATCTGGGGCAGTGAGGGTCAAATCTGAGGCAATATCTTCTCAATTCCTTGCCCCTAAATATAGGAAGCTATTAAGACTCATCTGAAGTATTATATAGGTGTTCAGGTTGTACAGCTCTTTGCTCATTATCTGGTAGTTTGCATTCTACATTGTAAGATTCTGGAAGTACAACTCCTAATATCACTGGATAACATCCTAACAGCACATTATGCACTCAACCTCTGGACCTGAAGACTCTCTTGTCGTCGTCCTCTATAATCTAAAATTTAGTAGTGTTATTAACACCTTAAGAGTCCCTAAAGGTCAAGCCATTTTATTTCAATCAATATGTACTAACACACACAGAACTCTTATAGGATGATAGTATTATCGCAAGGTATATTTTGGATGAGGGTAGAGAATTCCTAATCATTTTCCAGTTTATTTTCCTCTGTCCCTACCCAACTTACTTTTCTTTGAAAATCTAATAAGCTCATAAAGCCTGTGATGCTGAGTGAGCACATGCAGAAAACACAAAAATTCACCCCTCGGGAGACAGCAGAGACATGAGAACCAATGTCCTCTAGCTGTTAAAAGCCAAGCACAAAGTTCTGAGTACCAGATCTCATTCTTCCCTTGAAAACCTGCTACCACATTCAGAAAGTTGAAGCCAGTACGAAACTAGATCAGTCACTGAAACAGAAACAGAGACACAGAAAGAAGAAGTGATGCAATATGAACACCAAACAGAACTTTCAAAGATTTATTTTTTAAAAGCATCAGGAAAAATGAAAGAAGAGATAGGAGAAGGGAAGCATTGTGTGAAATACAAGTCACAGTTTTGAGTGATTATTTTTTATGTCTCTCTGACAGAGGAATGAGGGATGGAATTGAAGAAGAGAAACCAATATCTGAGCTAAACAATTGATAGAAATATAGAAATGCATATTGAGTTCTGACTAAAAAGATTCAAGGATGTTCTCTTGAAAGAATTTTCATATAATATTTAAAATTATTTTTCTAATACTTGTTTGTGCTGTAAGAAAGATCAAAGCAATAGGAGGATAAAAATACCATAAATCCATTACATATCAGCATAGGCATGAAGCTCATTGCATTATCACTCTCATCATATACAACCAGAGGAATTTCATTGTGCTCATTTCAAATCCCTCTCATAATTCCATTCTACCCCTCTGAATAAGTTATTTCAGTAAATTTGAAGGTTTTACTGAGCTTAAAATTCTAATGTAATCTCCCAATTTGATACAGAATTTACCAGCTTTTCTTTATCAGATTCTACCCCCATCCCCACCCCCATTCTTAGTATTTCTACCTTAGCCACAGACAGTCACTTCCTCTAAGTGTAGGTTTTAGAATGAGTATGGTGCTATGTCACTAATCCTGATCCTTCAAGATTGCAGTTACATCCAGCAAGGTGCTGAGCCAGCTCAGCTCCTATGGAAGTCAATTGGAGTTCACAGTTCTAGGCAATGTCACAGCCTGAATGATTAAATCATATGTATCCACCCAGAATAGGTAAGAATTTCAGGAAGTCTTGCATTTGAAAATGAAAGAGCACAGAGGCCTTGAACCTGATGTACAGTACCTCAAGAATAGCAAATAAAGAAAACAGCAATACTCAGCTAAACAACCTATCAACCAGAATGCTGAATCCTGTCAAACCTGTGTTAATAATGAAATGTTTTGAAATAGTTTTAAACTAAAATTGGCATTTCTGAAACTGCTAGCGTCACAGTTAGTCAACACTAAAAAACCCTGTTCTTCCGATTGTTAAAATAATATTACAACAGGCAGGAATTGTTTTACAGTCACTTGGCCTTGGGTTTATCCTCTCTTGGGAGTTCACGTTGCTGATAAACACAGATGATGTCATTTGTCTGGAAGACAGCCTTTACCAGTGTCATGATGCCTTGTGTGATATGGAGTGGAGTGGTAAATAAATCCTCTGTGCTCTGGGTGCGACACACAGCATTTTTTATAGAGAGGAGAGGAAAATAAAACAGTAAATAGAGCAACAAATATACATGAAATATTCTCAAACATAAAATGATTTTTGGATAAGTTAAAGAAAAAAGCCTAGAGTGGTCCTAACCCTTTCAGTTCCATCTTTGGCACGCATGCCATAAGTTGCCTACCCCTGCTCTATAACCTACATCAAAATAAAACAGAGAAAAAAGGATATCCTTGTTAATATTTACTGTTACAACTCTGGGTCTATCAGGGTGTCTGAAAGTCTTTTGGATATGGACATAGGAGAACTATATTTCAAGATTAGTTACCAGTCTTACCTGCTTCTCCTCCTGTACCAGCTCAGGATGCTTTCTGGGTTGAATACAAATCTTCAAGAAAGCACTAATTTAAGATTTCTTTGATCTCTTCATGAGCTACAATATTTTACAGCCAGTATTTTTTAAGCTCTGGAAGATATCTAAGGAAATCTGATTTGAAAGACTAACGCTTGATTTGGTTTCATTTCACTTGGCAAAGCACAGCCAATAGGAAATCATTTGATGAAGAGACATTGTAGTGGCAGATTCCTACTGTCCTTTGTTAGACTAGTATGGTTGTAACTATGGCAACATCTTTTCTCCAGACCAAAGTTCAGTTATTTTACAACTTTATTACCACTGCTGTTAGTTCAAAGTTTACTGGCATAATTTTCTACCAGTACAAAACTAGGTCTATAATCTCTAACAGCAGGGAACAGTCTCTTTCAGCTTGGAGCTCTCATTAACAAGACTAAGGAAAGAAGAAAAGTATAACCTGCACCACAAGAAAACACATCTCTCTGATAAAATGCCATCCAGAAAAAAAACATTGATGTTTGCATCTGCCTGTTTTACCAGTATTTGGTCTTTTGTGATAGTCTGCATCGTTCTTGCAAACAAAAACTGGGTCTCAAGTAATGTTAACTTTACCGAAGGAAATTCAAGTGCTATTATAACCGTCACATATGGGGTTTTTGAAGGTGTGTGTTCAAAGAAGGTGATTGGTGGACTTGAAACGCCAGCCAAAAATTTCCAAGGTAACTACTATAGTGAATATAAATGGATACTGTTGTGTTGTCTTACCTTGATACATTTCATTTTAGCAGATACTATGAAGAGCAGTTCATGTCTTTTATTTGTTTATACATATATTTTTATTGAAGACTAGAGTATTTACATACTAACATTATGGGATTTAGGAGAGTTGTAAAAATAAGAGAACAAATAGTACAGCACATAATAGCAGCAACACAATTGCAAACAGCAACCCTTTCACATTATCCAGGATCTTATTAGTTCATAGCTTTGTCTGTGGGAAGTATCAAGGTAAAAGGGAAACAGTTGTATTAAAAACAGCAAGTCTAAGTTTACAGAAGCTTTCAGGCAATAGCAGAAAAGTAGTTACTGCTCATTTTATTATCTTTTTTTTACAAATTATTTCAAAAAGATAATACAGTTCCTGCTGATTTGGAATGACATGCATACAGTGCTCTGACCAAAATGTTAGGTTTTAGACAGTAATTTTATTCTAAAACATGATTGTCACAAGTTTCATGTTAGGCTGTAAAACATTTAAACAATTTAACAATGCCAGTACAAATATTTTGGCAAAATTTGTATAAATTGATTGTCATTTTAGTTAGGTATTGGGTAATATTCATTTTTAGCCTTTTCTTTTAAGGCTCCTTCATTTTAACTTGTAAATAATGGAGCCAGTCAGGTCAACATATAAACTAGTATTTTTAAAATCTTTTATGTTTGCATGTTACTGTAGCTATATAATACTAGCAATTCCTTTTTGACTAACATGACAGTATGGAATTTACCTTGCAACATGAGCTTGACATACACCTTTTATAGGGATGTTTCTCCATGAGACTACCAAAGGGTACCTGTCAACATTCCACTTTGATAAACTATGACATGAGATTTCCAACACAACTCAGGGAATTAGAATAAGTTGTGTTCTTCCACCCAGACGCATCTTAGACTTCACAACATCTGAAAATGTCCAATAGATTGGGTCAAAGCTGAACTCTACACTTACAGAAAAATCAGACATATATATCTTCAGTTCTTCATATTTCCTCTTACTAGTAAATTTACCATAGGACAGAAGGACGACAGGCAAAAAACAAAGAAGAGAAAGTGAGAGGTGGGGGGGAGGGAAAGGAGAGAGAATATAGATAGGCTTGGCAGAATTCAATTTTTATATTGTTATAATTTTGTTGGATAATATGGATGTTTATTTTTAATATTTTTTTCAATTTTTGTCTATTAACATTTTCACAGCTGTGGAAAATTATGGGGCATGTCAGACATTAATTAATTACAGTAGATGTTGAAATTAAAAAAGTTAAAGCTTTATACTATTAGAACACATATTGTCGACATCACATGTCAAAATATACAAAGTAAATACCCTGAAATCAACCTCTAGCAATTTCCTAACCAGTATTTTCTTACTCTGCATATATATATATATATATATATTTAAGTTATCATCAGTGGAAATATTTTTTCATTGCTTTGTGTATGTTTGGTGAAATTGATGATTACTAAACTTACTGATAAAAATCTCATCCTTCCAAGCCTAGATGTAGACAAGATGAGGGGAAAATGAGGAAAGAGAGAGGGAAAAACAATAAAAGATGAAGTTTTACCTAGGGGAATCTTGAACAAAGATGCTATATATATAAGACAAGCAAATATTAGAAAAAATATATTAGAAAAAGCAAAATGGAACTAATAAAAGCTAGGCATGTACATAAGTGTTTGCAAGGATCAGGGCCTTACACTGGATTTTACACCAGTGTGACTCTATTGGCTTCAAAGAAACTATTCTGATGTACTCCTTTGAACGAGAGAAGAGAAGCAGGCCACAAAACCTATTGAGAAAGTCGGGGAAGAATGGTTTAAAATAATTAGCAGACAAGATGTATATTTTATAGATTATTTTATATATGATACTTTTGACAAAGACCATGATGCCACAGACAAATGAACCAAACAGAACTGACCCAGACAGGACCCCATCCTAGTCTAGGAAATAGTAATCAGGATAATTTATTTTTACACACTTAACATAATCTTTTCTGAGTTTAGTAAGGAGACTCTACCTGCACCCAATGACAAAACATTACCAAGACCACAACAATATGTAACATTGACAAGAGACTTTCTATATGGTGTAGCTGCACTGAAGTCACCTTTGGCTGATTATCTATGATAACAGCATATTATCAAAATTATGAGGATGGCAACATTATTTCAATGAAAGTTATAAGGACCACATTACAATGGGGAAAAAAACAGTTGCGAGTGTTAGTAGTAGAATATCTTAAATATTTTAAAAATGAAAATAGTGACACAGTTTGGTATCAGTCCATTGAAACAATTTCAATTAGAACAAAGGTTTTGGGGACAGATCAGCCCTATATTTGTCTAGTTAAAATATTATTTTAATTTCCAATTTTGTATATAAAAAAGGTTGTTTACGTTTGACTGTATCCCTCTCACACCAACGGACATAGGTCCTCATCCTAGCTCCATGCAGACGGACCTTCATTGACTTCAGTGGGCACAGCAGTCTAACCACACAGAGCTCATTGCAGAATCAGGGCCTTAGATTGGAAGCAGTTCAGGGTATGCACCTCGTCTTTGTGTTTTTATAGCAGCTAGCACAATGGAGCCCCAGTTCTGATTATGGCCTCTAGGTGCTATTATAAAAAATCAGTCACAGAATACTTGTATGGGTAGGGCAAGTAGGCTTTGACCAAGCAGAGAGAGATTTGTGACCCTGTTTTGTTCTTCTCAAATTAAAGTAGAAGTGAGATTTAAAATACAACATTACTAAATGATTAGCTTACCACAATAGCTATTTATAGTTATTGAAAAATAAGAATGCCTGAGACATTTAAATTTGAAAAGACCCAGAGTTTATTCTGGCCATGAAAGCTACTTTAAGGGAGATTTTTATTATATAGACAAAGATATGTTTAAAGAATAGTCTAAATATAGTTTTCTTTAAGTTAAAAAGTCTCTCAAATAAATTCCTCTAGGAATAAAGTCAGTGTAGAGTGCACTTGTTGTAAAGTAATTCTTAGGGTCTGTATTGTACATTATTATTTATTTGTTAAAGTCTATTGTATATGATTCTACAAATTTTTAAACATACATACACTTCTGTGAAAGATTATTTTCTTAATTTTTTAACCTCATCTGTTAAAATGATCATCAAAAAAGTTAAGCCACAAAAGTCAGAACATTCCAATACTGTACAGTGTCCTCCATCCAAGGGTCTTGAAGAATAGTCATACCTTTAGGTTAATGTGATAGCGGATGGTGAAGAGAGCTCTTCTGCCATCCTCACAAAGGCTGCATTCCATGACCACCTCCCCATCAGTGAAAAGGAAGAGGCTCTCAAAAGGCCGCATTTATGTGAGAAAATAGAATTGACAGTACAAGTTATGCACCTTTAATTGAAAGGGAAAAAAAAGTAACCTCAAGAGCAGTGATATCTTTTATTAAACCAACTTCTCTTGGTGGAAAGGATGAGTTTTTGAGCTTGACAAGTTCTTCAGGTCTGGGGAAGCTAACCAGAGTGTCTGAGCTAAATAGAAGTTGGGACAGATTGTTAAGCATAAGGGTCTCCACATGCTATTGGAGACCACTTAAAATGAAGTAAGCAATTAAGGGTTAGCATGCAGTTGGGTGTGTTACAAATTTTAATAAGCCATAAAACCATTGTCTGTATTAAGTCCATGGTGTTTAGCATCTAGCAGAGTTATGAATTTCAATTCCCAGGCTCATTTCTTGAAGGTGTTGTGCAGATTTCCTTTGAGAATGAGGACTGAGAGGTTACATATGGAGTGATCGCTTTGTGAAAATTGTTCACCTATGGGTGATTTTTTTTGGTCTTATTTTTCTGTTAGTTCATTTGAGATATAACAATTGTCTGGTTTCACCCACACCACATAGCTGTCGAAGGCGCATTTGATGCGCTGGATGAGATACACCGCATGTGTAGAACCCATGGATCTTGAAAGGTGTGTTGCAGGGGGAGGGAGGAGAATACTGATGATTGTAGCAGTGGAGATAGGTCTGCAAGTTTTGCATCCGTTGTTCTGGCAAGATCTGGTGGCCTTTGGAGTCTATGGAGAGCTTAATTCTAATGATAAAGAGTTTGGGGAGATTGTACTGTTGTTTGAAGGCCAGAAGAGATGGTTTGGGAAAGATTTTCTTTCAAGATGTGGTCCCCATCAAGTATGGACTGTAATTGCTTGATTATACCCCATATGGGTTCCAGTGTAGGGTAGCAGGTGAAGTTGTGGTGAAAAAAAAAATCTATGAGGGAAGCTAGGTTGTCTGTCCAGAGGTGGGGAAAAATATCATTGATGTGTCTCAGGTATACGGTTGGTTTCATAGTACATTTTTTCAGAAATTCTTCCTCAAGGTGATCCAGGAAGAGACATTGGCATATTGAGGAACCATTTTACTATCCAGGGCCATTCCCATGATTTGGACAAAGTGTTTATTGTTAAATGTGAAGTTGTTGTGGGTGAAGATGAAATGGATGAGTTTGACAATGTGTTTGGGGTGGATTTCTGAATGTTGTAAATTATCTTGTAGGTATTTGAGGCAGGCAGCGATTCCATCATGGTGAGGGATGTTGGTACATAAGAAAGTAACATCCATAGAGGCAAGGGTGGTGTTCTGGGGGAGGTTGTTAATGTTGCAGAGTTTCTGGAGGAAGTCAGTACTATCTCAAAGGAGGCTGGCCCTTTGGGTAGTGAGTGGTTTGAGGATGAAGGAAGGTAATCAGTGTGCAAAGTAGTGCACATTGGAAAACAATCCCAATTATACCTACAAAACAATGAGGTCTAAATTAGCTATTACTACCCAAGAAAGAGATCTTGGAGTCATTTTAGATAGTTCTCTGAAAACATCTGCTCAATGTGCAGCCGTAGTCAAAAAAGCTAACAGAATGTTAGGAACCATTAGGAAAGGAGTAGATAAGACAAAAAAGATTATAAAGCCACTGTGTAAATCTATGGTATGCCCACATTGGAATGATGAATGCAGTGCTGGTCACTCCATCTGAAAAAAGATACATTAGAATGTACAAATTACAGAGCAGGGTAACAAAAATGATTAAGGGTATAGAACAGCTTCCATACGAGGACAGATTTAAAAAACTGAGACTATTCAGCGTGGAAAAGAGAAGACTAAGGGGCAGGGGGCATGATAGAAATCTATGAAATCATGAATGGTGTGGAGACAATAAGGAAGTGTTATTTACCCCTTCACAAAACACAGGAACCAGGGGTCACCCAATGAAATCAATAGGCCGTAGGTTTAAACAAACAAAAGGAAGTATTTCTTCACACAGTGGAGTCAACCTGTGGAACTTGTTGCCAGGGGATGTTGTGAAGGCCAAAACTATAAGTGGATTAAAAAAAGGTTGTTTTTTTAACCAACTGGTTGAGGGGTTGTAGTTGGTTCCACTTTTTGTCTTTGTGTAGAATGGCAGTCATCAGGGGTTTTATTTGATAGTTTTGGGTTTCCTCCATGATCTCCAGGTAGGCTTACTGATTTTTTTCTTCCAGCGTGTGGGAGCATGCAATGGTTTCTTGTCTGAGGTGGTGTAGCGATGCGAGACTCACCCCTGCAGCACCTCCTGCTGGTCATTCAGGGAATTAGCGTTCCAGCCTCCAGAGCGCCCTCTGCATGGTTGGTGTCCCACTGCCACTGGGCCCAGAGTCCCTCCCAGACCCCAGTGTCCCCTTTCACGGCAGGGTGCTGCCACCTGTGGTACCCTACACAGATTTGGGTCTCCCCTCCCCAGGGAACCCTCAACCCTCACCTCAGTCTATGGCCACTGCTAGTCCTCACCTCACCCCCATTCTCTGGGGCCAACTGTAGTGTAAGTGCCATTCATCATAGGCAAGGGGGACCTGCTGCCTCTGCCTACCCGTGGGCTGCCCTCTGCAACCCCAGTACCTCTGTGGCCTTACTCTAGGCCTGCAGAATTTCCAGGCCAGAGCTCCCCAGCCCCTCTGGCCTTCCCCCAGCCCTGCTCTACCACAGGTGCTCTCTCAGCTTCCCAGCAACCAGGCCCCTCTCCCTCAACAAGCTAGAGGAAGAGTTCTTCTACTCCTGGCTTCACTGGCTTTTATAGGGCCAGCTGGGTCTGTTTGGGGCATGGCCACAGCTGAGGCTACCTCCCAATCAGCCTAGCTTTTTCCCCTGCCCCAGCCCTCTCCCAGGGCTGTTTTAAGCCCTTCCAGGCAGGAGTGGGTGACTGCCCCGCTACAGGTGGTCATTTGTGGAGTATATAAGGTGCAGGAGATGGTTCCTCAGTTTTTCTAATATCCTTCTGATGAGCAGTTCAGCATCTTTAGGGGAAATAGATGTTGTTCAACTTGGCTTCCTTCTTCTTCATGTTGTGAAGTTTCTATTTTAAATGTCAGAATTTGAAATCTTCCATAGTAGTTTGCATTGTTGTTGTGTTGAATTTTCAGCAACCGTTTTTAATCTTTCCAAGCAAAGATTCCAACAACTTTAACATGTCATTCATTCGTTTTATTATGTGCATCTTTATATTATGAGACTAGCAATTTGCTTCACAGCAATTTAAAAACTAAAAGGATTTTAAAATGCACAAACTATTTGTCATCATTTAGCCACCAGGTAAAAGTGGAAATATGTCTAGCTTCAGAATCCTGAAAGATCATATTTTTTCAGAGTATAAAAAGGATGATAATACAAACGTGCACAAAGAAAATGTGAAGGGAGAGGTATGCTTTTTCTTCAATAAGTTTTATACAACATTTATTAGGAAGAGTTATGAACATACTTTTAAATATACAGCACATCCTCTCACTAATAGCAAGCATCTCGTGCACTATGGATCTCTATGACATATTCTGTGCTGGTTTCTCTTGCGGAACTCCCATTGATCTCAGTGCATGGTGTGTGTGAGAAATGGAATGGGAAACGTTCTATAAAGATCTGCAGCGTGAAATAAAAAGGAGAATTTTGCCCTTGTAAGACTGTTCTTGGGATCTAAGGAATTTGCTGGCAACAGCACTGTGATTGTTTTTAAAGGGTTAGTTAATTAGTAGCCTTACAAACAGACTAACAAAGACCTTTACAATGACAGACCTCCCAAATTTATTTATTTACTCCACTGAAAGATATATTGGATTTCCTGTTGTACATTTTGGAAGTTAAAGTACAGAACACAAAAAACTTGACCAAGGTAACAGCAGCCTACTAACAAGCTGCTAATGATTTATATGGGGTAATTCAAGTACTTTATACTTTCATGAGCTGGCAAAAATTCAGAAGCTGTTAGTCACCTCAGAACATTTGTGTACCTACCGAAGTATAAGCAGAGTTTGTGTTTTAATTATTTACCTAGGGCGGGCACATCAGAAAAGTTCTATTCAGCTAATACCGGGTGGGAAGTGTTTTGTCAATGGCTTGGCTTGTTTTCAATCTGAAAGCAAACTTGGGCCATTTTTAGGGCCATTTATTTTGTGGAGAAATGGCAGGGTGAGGTGTGCATACATGCCAGTCTTGAACTAACTTTATTAAGAAACAGGAAGTGACATCATTAGAGGAAGTTTTATTATTTTTCCAGTACCTTACAGAAACTCCTGACAAACACTTGAAAAGTACTGACGCTAGAATTGACTTAATTGATCATCAATTTTCATGCAGACAGGTGTTCTGTGATGCCTCATGGGGATGTATCAAGTTGGGTTGGATTATATTGTACTTTAAAAAATTATAGTATGTAATGTAAATTTTTAAATGAATGTAGAACTTGTGAAAGGTATCAAACTGGTAGCACTGGAGATTGAAGACACCCAGGGCAGTAGCCTAAACTTGTTCCCACTGAAATCAATGAGAGTTTGAGCATTTAATAGGGTCCTAAAGCCAATACATTGTCACAATCCTAAATATAGTCCAAAACCTGACCTATCCTTTGGTAAAAATAAAATAAGCAAATATATGTAGGAAAGGCCAGGTAGGGTTGTGGGAGAATTCCACAGGTGGGGGCAAATGTCCACGGCCTTCGTACGTGGAGTGTTTTACACTGTAAATGCACAGAGGGTTTTATTTAAATGTAGATTCATACCGCTTATTTTCAATAAAATCTGCTTTTGCAGATTCCTTTTGCTGATTCCAGCTGTGAAGTATGGGATTTTATTCTAGCATCCAATAAAATATTACAAACACTAGAAAGGCAACCTATAACATATGACCTAAAAACCTTTTTTTAAAAAAATCCTATGCTGGATGGGACATGCTACTTAGTGTGTCTCTAAATACACTGTACCAGTGTGCAGATATATTGTATCTGCTAACTTGGGATTGCAATGTGCCTGCATAAGATCAATCACTCGTGGTCAGGGAGTAGAGTGGGTCCAGACTCATGATTAGGCTCTCTCATGATTAATTAAACTTGAGTGAACAGGTTAAAGTAAGTTTGGCAGAGAAGAATGGACTGATCCTATCCATACAGACCCAGACTTATTTTGTGAAATAGACAAAAATTAGTAATAAGACTATATGCATAATAAAGCTGAGGTAGCACTTGCTTCACATCAGCTTTGTGAAATGTCCACCTCCTGAGTCACCATCTTTTCCTATTTATTTCAAGCAGAATTACTGACATTTGTATATAGTTTACATAACAGAGCCTCATCTGGTGTTACATAGAACAAAGTTTCCAGAAATTGGCTTATGGTATCAAGTATCCTCAGATCCCAGGAGTAACATGTAAAACAGGAGACAGCAGTTTCCTTTCCTGTTTATTTTCAATGACCTATTTTAAAAGAAACACAGTGGAGGCCTGATTACTGTTACGATTTCTCTAGTTATAGACAGTAAACTCAGTACTCTACAATAATCTGTTGTATCCAAAGGAGGGGTGGAAATGAGTTTTTTCTGTGGATGCTGACTGGCACAGTTCCTGTTTGAATGATTGTTCTAATGTGGTTGGGGTTTTGTTGCCATACTAATTACATATAAAGGCACCTAGAGCCTTGTATAGGTATCTTTTCAATATTATTTAAATCAAAATAAGTAAATACATAAAATATCCAGGTACAATGGTACCCTATTCTCAGCATAGACCTACTGTGACTGCACCTGGAATATTGTGTTCAGCTCTGGGCATTTTATTACCAGAACAATACTGACAAATTAGAAGGATTTTATGGAAGACAGAAAAATAATAGACACAGCAATCTACACATATAAAGTAATAACGAAGGCCCAGATCCTCAAATGTATCAAGGCCCAACTGCCCTAGTCTCAAGGCCCAACTGTACCCCAGGTTCCCATTCACAAACAGATCTCTGAGACTTAGGTGGCTATAAGTATATGCTCACAATCAGTTTTGTATTTTCAGCAAAACTTGACTATTATTAATATCAAATATTGGATCTGGTATTAACGCTGAGCTATCATATTTCAGTGACAGCGTTGGGAAAGATAGAAATGAAAAGTTTGAACGTTGTGATTATCTTGCTCCTGGTTCTCAGTTTGCTTAGCTCCCTTATGAGTTCTGGATTTACATGCTGCAACACCGTAACCAATCCCTACCAGACATTTCTGGGACCCATTGGAGTCTATACATGGAATTCCCTAAATGGTAAGTATGTACTGCATACTATTCTAAAGGAATTATATAATATACTGCATAGAGAATGCCTGATTGTCATGTACATTAAGGCCCCTTTACACCACTCTGGTAAAGCAAAGAAGGGGGGGAATGTGTGAGTGAGTGAGAGAGAGAGAGAATGTGCATGCATACATCAATTATAGGACTTGATTCTCATTTACACATGCATGCATACACACCAACCCATTTCTAAATTATATATTATATAAATTATATATATAGGGTAGACTTCTAATCTCTAGCAAGAGCTCTGGCACTTATCAGGAGTGACAGCAAGTCAGCATTATCTTCTCACTAGTAAGATTTAAGGATTGCATGTCTATGAATTTAATGGTTATGGGAGGACTATGAAAATATCACAAACCAGCAACATTTGAAAGAGAATTCTATTTTATTCAGGTATTATGCTATAACTGTCACCATGGTATCTGAGCACCTTGTTCCTTCAGACAGCAATTAAATTGTAATGGTTATTTTAAATGAATCCATCATTCAGTAAGTTTCTGGGTGCATTGATTGCAATAATAAAAATGAAAAAACAGAGGTAGTTATTTACAACATAATTTAATGCAATTAAATGCATGCACATCACAGCAGAGATCTGAAGCTGACCCTTCTCAAACTACAGAAATCAAGGCAGACATGCAGAAAAATGCAGGTATTGGAAGTGACTAAGGACTAAATTTGCAAAGGTATTTAGGCACCTATGTGCTTTTGAAAATCCCACTAGGTACCTATCTACATCTTAATGCACATAGATACCTTTAAAAATCTGGACCCTTGTGTCCAGTTCCATCTGGCACTGAGCCTCATTAATTTCACTCATTTCTGAAGAAAAGTCAAATCTATCTTAAGAGAGCTTCAGCCCATTGTTTATGCACATGCAAGCATAGGGCCACTCAGAGCAAGTTTAGCAAGGTCAGAGGAGATAGAAATGCAGAAGTAGTAATTAGGAAAGTACTCATTCTCAAGGACAAAATGATATATTTTATATTTATGTTGTATAGCATTTTTTAAACTAAGGGCTGGGGGAAAGGTGCGGAGGAGCGCGTGGTTCAGACATCCCTGAGGGGAGATTCTATTAATAGAGAATCTCTATGTCTTAATGAGGACTAGAGGATGGAAAATGATAAAATACAGGCTGGTCTGATCAGAAACAGTCAAATAAAAAAAAGTCCCATTCAGTTACATTGTGTAATGGCAGACAGCTAAAAGGAGACAAGTTTTTAAAGTGCTTATGTACCAATGCTAGAAGTCTAAATAATAAAATGTGTGAACTAGAGTGCCTCTTATTAAATGAGGATATTGATATAATAGGCATCACAGAGACTTGGTGGAATGAGGATAATCAATTGGATACAGTAATACCAGGATACAAAATATATCTGAAGGACAGAACAGGTCGTGCTTTTGGGGGAGAGACATTATATGTGAAAGAAAGCAGAGAATCAAACGAAGTAAAAATCATAAATGAATCCAACTGTACCATAGAATCTCTATGGATAGAAATGCCATGCTCTTATAACAAGAATATAGCAGTAGGGATATATTACCGACCACCTGACCAGGATGGTGATAGTGACTGTGAAATGCTCAGGCAGATTAGAGAGGCTATTAACATAAAAAACTCAGTGATAAAAATGGGGGATTTCAATTATCCCCATATTGATTGGGTACATGTCACCTCAGGACAGGATGCAGAGATAAAGTTTCTTGACACCTTAAATGAGTGCTTCTTGGAGCAGCTGGTCCTGGAACCCACCAGAGGAGAGGCAATTCTTGATCTAGTCCTAAATGGAGCACAGGATCTGGTCCAAGAGGTGAATATAGCTGGACTGATTGGTAATAGTGACCATAATATAATTAAATTTAATATCCCTGTGACAGGAAAAACACCACATGGTTCAACACTGTAGCATTTAATTTCAGAAAGGGGAGCTGCACAAAAATGAGGAGGTTAGTTAAACAGAAATTAAGGGGTACAGCGCAAAAAGTGAAATCTCTGCAAACTGCATGGAAACTTTTTAAAAACACCATAATAGAGGCTTAACTGAAATGTATATCCCAAATTAAAAAACATGGTAAGAGAACCAAAAAAGAGCCACTGTGGCTAAACAACAAAGTAAAAGAAGCAGTGAGAGGCAAAAAGGCATCCTTTAAAAAGTGGAAGTTAAATCCTAGTGAGGAAAATAGAAAGGAGCATAAACACTGGCAAATGAACTATAAAAATACAATTAGGAAGGCCAAAAAAAGAATTTGAGGAACAGTTAGCCAAAGACTCAAAAAGTAATAGCAATTTTTTTTAAGTACATCAGAAGTAGGAAGCCTGCCAAACAACCAGTAGGGCCACTGGATGATCGAGGTGCTAAAGGAGCACTCAAGGATGATAAGGCCATTGCAGTGAAACTAAATGAATTCTTTGCATCGGTCTTCACGGCTGAGGATGTGAGGGAGATTCCCAAACCTGAGCCACTCTTTTTAGGTGACAGATCTGATGAACTGTCCCAGATTAAGATATCATTAGAGGAGGTTTTGAAACAAATTGATAAATTAAACACCAGGTCACCAGGACCAGATGGTATTCACCCAAAACTTCTGAAGGAACTCAAGTGTGAAATTGCAGAACTACTAACTGTAGTCTGTAAGCTATCATTTAAATCAGCTTCGGTATCAGATGACTGTAGGATAGCTAATGAGATGCCAATTTTTAAAAAGGGCCGCAAGGTGATCCCGGCAATTACAGGCCTCTAAGCCTGACTTCAGTACTGGGCAAACTGGTTGAAACTATAATAAAGAACAAAATTGTAAGACACATACATGAACATAATTTGTTGAGGAAGAGTCAACATGGTTTTAGTAAAGGGAAATCATGCCTCACCAATCTACTAGAATTCTTTGAGGGGATCAACAAGCATGTGGACCAAGGGGATCCAGTGGATATAGTGTACTTAGATTTTCAGAAAGCTTTTGACAAGGTCCCTCACCAAAGGCTCTTAAGCAAAGTAAACTGCCATGGGGTAAGAGGGAAGGTGCTCTCATGGACTGGTAACTGGTTAAAAGATAGGAAACAAAGGGTAGGTATAAATGGTCAGTTTTCAGAATGGAGAAAGGTAAATAGTGGCATTCCCCCAGGGGCTGTTCTGGGACCAGTCCTATTCAACATATCCATAAATGATCTGGAAAAAGAGGTAAACAGTGAGGTGGCAAAATTTGCAGATAATACAAAATTACTAAAAATAGTTAAGACCCAGGCAGACTGCAAAGAGCTACAAAAGGATCTCTCAAAACTGGGGGTGACTGGACAACAAAATGGCAGATGAAATTTAATATTGATAAATGCTTTCTGATTACCTGTTCTGTTCATTTCCTCTGGTGCACCAGGCACTGGCCACTGTCAGAAGACAGGACATTGGGCTAGATGGACCTTTGGTTTGACCCAGTAGGGCCATTCTTATGTTCTTATATACTGCAATTTAGACTAAAGAAATAGAATCCCACTGTCTACTTTATTCCTAGAACTTCTAACCAAAAACAAGGATTCTTCTTCAGTCATATTAATACAGGCAACACATTTATGCTGTAGCACCATTTAGGTAACTTCTGTAGTGACTTACATCTCTACATATCTTCTAAAGTTTGTGGGGAAATGTGGCTCTTGGATCTGCAGTTCAGCTCTCTTATCTTTGGTAAGATCTCTATTATGTATAACATGCAAATGCCTATTGGTGTCAATAGGATTCCTGTATATGGGTCAAATGGATAATATACTATGCATATCTCTGCTGTGGGTCCAACAGCAAGACTTCCCCCTTAGATGGCTTTACTCCCACTGAAGTCAAGAGGAATCCTTCCATTGGCTTTAATAGGAGTTGAGTTGGACTCAGAGATAGGTACACAAAACATTGCACATCAGTTGTCAGACAGGGCACAGTAAATTCTTTAGATAACTCCCCAGAATATTTTATTTATAGGAAACTCCAGATTTTTCTTCCAATTGGTTGAAATGCCTAGAATGAAATAGATATTAGAACTGTTATATTTGCATAAGTGTACCCATATAATATCACAGTGCTATTTGTAACATTGTATTCCTATTTTCTAGGCATCTTCATTCTTCTAATCATGATATTGTTTGCAGTGAACGTAGAGGCAAACAAACTGTCTGTAGAGTTGGCTTCAAACTGTGTGTTTTCTTCAAGTGAATATAAAAACTCCAGAAACAATTATGAATATTCATATTGGCTCATGCTTCTTATCTTTCTTTTGAATGTTGCAACTATCATCATCATCGTCTTCTATCACCATGCAAGGTATTCCAAGAGGAAGGAACAGGAGAGACCCATTGAAAATGCACCAAAAGATGGTATTTTATTTTAGTGATACCAGTTCTTTCATTTAAAGGTAATGTGGAAGAAAATTGCAAGTCAATATGTGGACAATCGTGGCTGATAATTTAAACTGCAAATGTATATTGTTGTTCACTTCAGTTGTTCATTGTGCTGTCCGCCAATCTTTAGTACTGATTGAATTAATCTTCATCATTTTAGATCTATTTTGCCATAAATGTTTACAAATTATTTATTGATAAGGGCATCAGTTAAATGAAGTTGTATAATGATCCCTATGTGCACCATTTGTCTGTGGGCCCTTTAAGAATGAGCTTTGCATAGCTCACCTTCCTGACTCCTCCCCTGGGGAAGTACCTATGTGAAGTTAAGAGTCTGGAAGGAACAAAGCAGCAGCTACAGCACAGTGAAGACCAGGACCTCTCAATGGGTGGAACACAATCCAGAATTGAGTTTTTAGGGGATCCCCACTGCACTGCTACTGTCTGAGTGGGCAGCAGCAAAGTGTAAAGGGCATTAGGACACAGAGATTTGGAAAGTGAATGCAAGGAAACATTCCATCTTCGTGCTGCTGCTCCTTCAGTCCTACCCCATTATGCATCCAAGCAAATCCTATTGCAGCCCTTCTCTCCCCATCCATGCATCATTCAGCATAGCCAGTTTCCACCTCTTGCATTCTGACTTTTCTTGGCTGCAGAATGGCCTCTAGGGGCTGTTTAACTTGTAGTGAGGGCTGAACCAGCACCAGGACCAGGGTGGCCTAAAAATACAAAGACCCTTTACTCTGCCCTTTGAAGTCTGAGCCTGAGCTCAAGGACAGGCCCATTATTTTGATTATGGACATAATTCCTGATTGGAAAGCGGTAGACTAATCCAGAAAACATAAGAAATCTTGAAGATTATAGGGCAAAGTCACTGGGGCCTCAGTGCTTCGCCCTCCACTGCAATCAGTTGCCATTTCTCCCCCCCCCCCTTTTTTTTCATCTTTCACTTTCTCTTTGAGCCCCACAGTAAATGATCCCGTCCACACTTAGAATTCACTGTTGCTCTTTGCCTCACCAATCTTCCTCGGTTACTTTATTCTGGAGTATGAACTCACTTCTTCTAGCGACTACACTCACAAAAGGCCATGCAGAGTAGCAAACAAAATGAACACCAGTGCAAAATCAGTGCTATTGCTGGAGTCTTGTTCCTGTCTGGAGTGGCTAAATAGAAACATTGTGGTTTACATGGTGACCGTGTGCTAGAGGGACATTATGTAATCATAAATAAGGAAGGAGATGGTCTGTTCAGTTAAGAGTGAGATGGTGAGTATCTACAAGTCAATTATTAACCGCTTGTTCACATTTGCAAATGTTTTTTAGGACCCCTGTTTTAGACTATATAAAGACTTTTTTTTATTAACACAGCTAGTGGAATGATAAAGCTGCACCTTGTACAGGTGTGGTCCTCCTGTTTCCTGAAAATAAAATCATACTGCCCTTTTGCACTGACACAGATAGTGAATATTTACAGGATAATATAAATGCCATGGCCGAAGCTCTTATTCATTACATGGAGCTGAATAATTAAAGTATAATGCTTCTAACTAACGGAACAAAAAAAAGTATTCTGTAGTCTTTAAAGGGAGTTTTATTCTCTAGCTTTCTAACTTCCTGCAGCTAGGCTGAGCTGACTCCTTCTCTTTAGGTGCTGATAATTTTCACCAACTGTATTCACATCTTCCTCTGCGCAGGAAGGCAGACCCTATGGCATCCTGTAAGCTTACGCTCAATGCTCATGTTGCAGGGATGGGTGTTCACAGACTGAAGTGATTAGCACCTTGCACTCTCTTGCCCCTACCCCCAACTGCTGGGAGACCTTTCCCAATGATTTAACTGTATCACACAGTCTCCCTTTACCATACCTTATCAAGCCTGATTTACAGATGCATTCATTACATCGGAGGTATATGATGAAATACCACAGCGGCTCCAAAAAAGAACACTTGAATGGATACAGGAGTTTTGGAAGAATGTAACTTCTCAGAAGGTTGACTCAAGCAAATAAAACCTCTTCTGGAGCTTGTTGGTTATGTCAACATAATTTTCAAGATTAAAGTATAAAATCTCCAGTGTATTTTGCCAGATGAAGGTATAACCCGCTGCAGAAATCCTACCTTAGAGCAGTTTATATGGAGCAGATCAGTACAAAGTTAGGGTGGTATTCTGGAAAAAAGCTTGGGTCTTTTATCTTTGAGAGATTGAATAGGTGCATCAAACAAGAGACCTTTCCAGTTTTCACTTTATGATAAAACCCTTGCATAGAACCACTTTTCATCACTGCAAACATTTCAGCTGAAATGTCAGATACTTTGCACACACAAGCTAAACTGGCACAAAGCCAAACATTTGCCAGTTTTGCTTCAGCTGCAAAATTTTTCACACAGCTTCAGTGAGCAATTGTTACAGCTTTGCTAAGCCAACATCCATCACGCAACATGACTAATCCTGCATCTGTCATTAGGTAGGATAGAAACAAAGTCATTGTAATAGAGCATTATTAGAGGACTTATGTCTCCTCCTTTGAAAGTAAGAGGGTCAGCATTGTTTCAGTATTTGTAGAGCAGCAACAGATCATTTTCAATAATGGACAAACTGCAGAAGATTCAACAGTTTGCTTCTAATAAGCAGCCTCAGTTCTGGGTCCTTATCTGAACCTCATGGGTCTGTAAACATCAGGCTGAAAATCTCACAAGATCTCATGCTTTTCTTGTGAGATTTACATGTTTTACTCCATTGATAATCTTTTTGATATGCTGTGTAGACTGGCACCGGAATAGAATCAAAAGCGTAGGTCACGGCAGAGTTAGTGGTTTGTCTACATTCACTACATTTACAGGACCAGTAACCTAAGGCTAGATCCTGCAACTGGCTTCACATGGGCAGACTCCTGCATGAAGCCTCACTACAGTTAATAGGGCTCCATTTAGGCCCAAGAGCCTGTCTGCATGGAGTCTCGGGCAGGATTGGGGCCTTAGAGACTATGGGCCAATGGCAGTTTTGCCATTGACTTCATGTGAATGAGTATTTGGCCTTAGACCTGAACTTTAATCATGGTACTTATTTATTCACCTGGATGAAATGTAGATCAAAATTATAATGTTGCAGAAATCCAAATTTTAGCAGCAGACAGTTAGGATTTTCCATACAAAGGCAGATCATTTACTTTTTGTCTGAATGTGTTTAGATTATGGGACACAAGAAAACAAGCATGAAAGAAAAGTAAAGTTCCCCTTAGAGAGCACAGAGTTGGGGGGAAATGGAAAACTGTTTGCATAAATTGTTGTGCCCCATTTTCCACTGAAAACGTATTGATTGTAATTTTCCTGCCACTTCTAGTTGTAAGTTACATAGCTACATACCACTGCAGACTAGGAAAATGCGTCTGTTGGTAACAAAGAATTTACATGAAACAACACTGATGTTAGTTACCAGGTAACTCTCATGGTTTCAAATGCAACTGCTGTGAGTTTATCACATTATTTCCATAGAATATAGTGCAGAGGTGTTTTGTGGCAATAGTGAAATTAACTTACATCACAATGCTGAACCAAACAAGCCAGGAAACTATTCAGGACAGGGACCATGCCTTTCTCTTTGATACTAAAGATGTGCTTAGTAAACCTTTGGGTGCTATAAAATAATCCATCATCATCAGACAGTATTACACATACATGCCCATAAAAGAGCTTAATAAAATGAATTTATCATTCTGCAATAACGTCTATTTCTACTCCAGCAGTAAAGAGTCTGCCACAGGATGACCTTGCATTTAGCCTTTAGGATAGCAAAAAGAAATTGTTTTGTCTGTTGCCAACCAGCCAACCCTAAAAATGAATACAGCTGTATTCGGTACATTTATCCTCTTAATGAGAACAGATTCTGGCAGTTTTGCCTTAGGTGAAAAGGAAAAAGCTTGCTCTGTCAGCTTGACATGCTACTGAAATAAAATCAAGTGTCCATCTTATCTGAAGACCAGAGTGAGTAATTTCGTAAATAAAGGAGCTGCACATTTATCACTTGCCAACAGTTCAGCGTAGCTTTCCACAATTAGCCATGTTTGGTCTGGTCCAAAGAGGGATCCAGTCTTGAGCTAGCCTAAAGATGAATTCCCTTGTAACTTTATTTGGCTGATATTTATCACAGTGAGATCAGGAAGCATGCAAAGCATTGTTTGCACTGTAGCTTATCTTTGGAGAAAGCCCTATGTATTATGCGGGAAGCTGACCTAGATTTTTCCGTCAAAGCTCGCGGTTTCTTTTATAATCTGGCACTGAATTCTGAAGTACACTGAGAATGCTGCAACAGAGGAAGGTAAAGTCAGACCTTCTGCACCAGTTAAGCCTGTATCATAGCTGTGCTGGGCTATCACAGGTAGAATGGATCTCCTTTACAGGCTAGCATGGAAAGATGTGATAGTGCAGGCAAGGGGAGGGCTGATGGGATCCATGTTTAAGTGTATCCACTGGCCATAACTCCCTGCACAACTGGGGTGGAAGGGCTGCAGATTCCAACACATCCATCACCACAGCCCCTTGGCACTCCACCTATGTAGAGCATGACTACCATAGGCTTTATGTGGGTGAAGTGGATTTCACACACATCAGAGGGATGTTTTTGTTGAATTACACATAAAAATGAATAATCAGTTTTCCTTGGGTTATTTACTCATATTAAACTGAATTTTTGCCTGCCAAACATTTTCAATTTGCAGCTTGCTGTGGAATCAACAATGCATAGAATCATAGAATCATGCATCAAGAGGTCTTCTGGTTACTCCTGAGGACATTCTGCACCAGAAAATTAAAAGTTCTGCACTAGAAAATTAAAAATTCTGCACATAATATTTTAAAATTCTGCAAAATGTATTTGTCAAATAAAAGTAGAGGCTCCAGCATGCCATTGGGGAGCACAGGCCAGTAGCTGCACAACGGTAGGAAATCACTGTGCAGCTCCATACCTGGGACACAGACTCAGCAGTGAGGCTGCATCCAACCCTGACACAGCGCAAGGACCAGGCCTGCCCCAGAAACACCCAAGGGCCCTGCCCCTCTGTGTCAAGTGCTCCAGGTGTGCAAAGGCAGGCTCCAAGTGTGGAAGGGCTTAGTGTGGGGGGATCCAGCTGTGAGCTGAGAAGGTTCTGTGTCGGGCAATCTGGGTGCAGGCGGCTCAGTGGGGGATTTGGTTTCGGGGGGGATCTGGATGCACAGGGCCTTGTTGGGGGGTTCTGGGTGCAATGGTAATGGGACTCTGCAGGGGGGTCCAGGTGAAGGTGGTTGGGGCTCAGTGGGGCAGGGAATGGGGTGTCTGGATGTGGGGTCCAGATGCTGGGGGATTGGTGCTCAGTGTGGTGGGGATCCAGGTGCAGCTGGTTGAGGCTCGGTGGGTTGGGGATCCAGGTGCGGGTGGCTCATCAGGGTGGTCCAGGTACAGGGGGAGTGAGGCTTATTGAGGGGGTTCTGAGTGCAGGTGTGGGGGGGTGAGGCTCACAGGAGGGTCTGTGTATGAGGGAGTCTCAATGCACAGGGGTTGGGCAGATGGGGGAGCAGTTTCCTGTACTGGGATCCCTCCCCCTGCAGTTGAGGAGCAATGAATACAGGAAGTGGAGGGGAGAGGGGTTTGCAGAGCTTCCTGCAGCTGAGGGAGAAATCTGGGGATGGGTCCTCCCCAGCCCAGCTGGGACTAGCAACTGAGCCTGGCACAGGGTAAGAGCCACCAGCTGGATCTTCCCCAGTCCCACCTCCTTCCCCACAATAATTTACCCCTCTGCCGGCTGCCCTGGGCACCCGAAACATACGGCTGGAAAGGGTCACATGACCACTATTGTGGCTTCCATTTGCTTCCCTGTCAGAAAGTCATTTTTCTGTGGGGAAGTAAAGAAATCTGCAGGAGACACAAATTATGTGCATGCAGTCCCCTGCACTCAAGGCAGGACTAAGTATTATCTAGGCCATCCCTGAGAGGTGTTTGTGTACCTGCTCTTAAAAAACTCCAATGACAGAGATTCTACAACATCCTTAGGCAATTTACTCCAGTGCTTAACCACCCTGACAGTTAGAAAGTTTTTCCCAATGTCCAACCTAAACTGTCCTTGCTGCAATTTAAGGCCATTGCTTCTTGTCCTATCCTCAGAGGTTAAAGATAACAATTTTTCCTCTCTCCTCTTTATAACAACCTTTTATGTATTTGAAAACTGTTATGTCCCCTCTCAGTCTTCTTTAGCCAGACTAAACAAACCCAATTTTTTCAATCTTCCCTCATAGGTCATGTTTTCTAGACAGTAACAATATTGCATAATGGATGTTGTCAGGGCCAGCTTGAGAGGACAAGTTTGTGGGTTTGGCACCCAGGAAACTGTTGAGACTTTCTGCACTGGGAACAGATGCCTCTCTTCTTTCTGAGCTAAGTCAGAGTGACTTGAACTGTTGAGGGGTAGAGACTGGAACTCCTAGTATCCTGCCCTTGACAACAACCACCAACCACCCTCTTTCTCCTGCCTAATATCCACCTCTGTATCCAAAACAGATGGATAAACAGGTCAGCAGGATGTTTCTACTAAAATGACCAGCATTGAAATAGTTAACAATACACATTAAAATTGACGTAATTGGCTTTCAGATTCATCACTACACGGTAATAAATGGGGCAGCTCCAACCCCTCAGCGCTATTGCTTCATGTTTTGTGCAGACTCAAGAAGGCAGCAGGGCTTCACCATTTGTCACACATTTGGAAATTTTTATTCACAACCATGAGGATTTGTGACAGGCTTTACAAACCCCACACTAAGGCAGAGACAGAGGAAGGGCTGGCGCAGTACTGGGCCAAGGAGGCTTTGTCTCTCAGCCACCGCTGAGTGTGCTTCTGGGAAAAGACCAGAATCAATGGAGCTTCTGCAGCCCTGGGTGGGAGAGAAGAAGGAGTCCATTTCCTGGAGGAGAACTGCTCTGCAGCAACAGGAGAGGAAGCTTGTACTGCGGGTACTTGACTGAGTCTCCCCTCCCACACAGATGCTCCCCAAGAGGGAGGGAGGGAGAACCAGCAAAGGCTTGAAGACTGCAAGCATCAGCCTAGGCTGTGGAGGTCTGGAAGTAAAGGCTATGTCCACTGTGACCACACCCAAACTGAGATGCAGTTGTGGTAGGAAATGGCTCAGGGGAAGTGAGCAAGTGGGCCAGCCTAACGTAAGTCAGTACACACAGTTTCACATTCAGGTCCTGAACTGGGACCTGGGGGGGGGGGAGGGGAAGGACCAGGGTCCCCTTTTACCCAGCCCTAAAGAGGGTAGGGCTAGGGGTTACGTCAAGGAGGCCAGTCCAACTAAACCTACATCCAGAGGGTGAACTAACAGAAAGGTTGGAGTTGAAGGCTCAGACCAATAGGCCTGTTGACTGCCAAAACCACCCCGCTACAGGGCTATGAATATTTTGTTAAATGAATTATTATAATCTTCTAAACAGTTCTGTGAGCCTGGGTGGATTGTGCGGAAAATGCTATGACTGCAGAATCTGTATCTACGGAGACAAAGAAGATTTCCATAATTTAGATGCCTCATGAAACTTTCAGTTCTCTTAAGCATTAACAACTATAAAATGTATAAATATACAAACACTCCAATAGGGAACAACAACTTTTAATATAGCGACATCGACTTCACAGCATAACAAGGTCTCATTAATCTTATAATTACAGGGAAAGGATTCTACCATAGCTTTGCTGTTTTCCAGAGACAGAGTGAGACTCAGTAGTATTTAGTCAATAAAACCAATTCCTATTACCCAAGGACAACCACGCTAAAGAATGAGCCAGCCTTCACTACCTAAAATTCTCTGCTGCTTGGAAAACAGCCAGGTATAATAATCAATTCTCAAAATAAACACAAAAAGAAAAGGAGTACTTGTAGCACCTTAGAGACTAACCAATTGGTTAGTCTCTAAGGTGCTACAAGTACTCCTTTTCTTTTTGCGAATACAGACTAACACGGCTGTTACTCTGAAACCTGTCAAAATAAACACAGTTTCACTAACATGATGGCTGTTCATGAACCATTTTAAAAGTTAAATAAATTCTTATAACTAGTAATAGTGCTAGCATGCTACAGATTTTAGAAGCTGTAGAGCTGGAAGAAAGAGATCCCATACAGCAGGGGTGGCCAACCTGTAGCTCCGGAGCCACATGCGGCTCTTCAGAAGTTAATAAGTGGCTCCTTGTACAGACACCGACTCCGGGGCTGGAGTTACAGGTGCCAACTTTCCAATGTGCCGGGGTGGTGATCACTGCTCAACCCTTGGCTCTGTCACAGGCTCTGCCCCCACTCCATCCATTCCCACCCCCTCCCCTGAGCCTGCCATGCCCTGGCTCCTCCCCTCTTCCCTCCAGAGCCTCCTGCACACCACAAAACAGCTGATCGGGTGGTGCAGGGAGGGACAGGGAGGCGCTGATCAGCAGAGCTGCCGGTGGGTGGGAGGCATTGGGAGCAGATTGGGGGAGCTGATGTGGGGCTACCGATGTATTACTGTGGCTCTTTGGCAATGTACATTTGTAAATTCTGGCTCCTCCTCAGGGTCAGGTTGGCCACGCCTGCAACACAGCATAGTACACGAGGGCTGGAGGCAGGGCTGTCTCACTTGCAGCACTGTAAAGAAAGAAAAGTACACAACAGTTTTCTCAATGGTGAAGAAACAGCAGGGCAGCTTTGTATGCAATGTGGAGACTTTAGGGAGACAGTTTAGTCATTTGCTAATGACAAGATCAGCTGGGGTACTGTTGATCAGAGGCAAAGTAAGTAATTTAAAACCCTTTCTCTAAATGTCCCTTTACATTGTGAAATCACTTGGATAGCCCCTTAAATATAGATCAGCCTAAAGAACTTCTATGCAAAGATCTACAGCAATGCCTTCACCTACTACTGCAGCAAGCTGTTTGCTCTTTTAATAAATTATGGTGACCCATATTTGCTAACTTATGGT